CTCCTGATGTTTCCTTCCAAGTGGCAGGAACTGTACTATTGCAGCACTCCTGTCTGCCTTCTCACTGCCCAAGCTGAAGCTGCCTGGGAGGAAGGGCTGAGCATGCCTAGCCCAGCCCCTTCTTTGGGGAGCTGACTGCCTATGGGAACCCTGTCCCTCCATCGTGTGAGTTTTACAGCAGCACTCAACATATGGGAGGCCTCGTGGTTTTCTAGTGTGGCCTGGGACTGGGTTGGTGAGTCTGTTTAATTCTGTGCTTCAGGAATAGCAAGCCTATTGTTCCTGCACTCTTAAGTCATACTCCTCGGTCTCAGGTTTATCAGTAATAAAGGTGGTACTTTGATAGCCACTCTGCCTTTCTCCTTGAATTCATCCCTCAGGTGTTCCAATGCTCGGGCAGGGCTGCATGGTGCCAGTCGTTATGCCTGTGTCCTTGCATGTGCCTGTGAGTTCTCCCAGCAGCCCTGACAGTGAGTGGTATCATCTCCTCTTTACAGATTAGTAAGTGAGGCTCTATGAAGGTTACCCACTCTGGATGATCACTATGGGTTTGGCACGCTGGTCAGGCTAACTCCCAAACTTGTGTCCCTTAGGAGATTCAGCCAATGAAAATATCATAGATAAAAACCTTTAAAGGACTTTGCATAATATAAATCACTGGGTAATACAGATGAGTTCTATTCCTTTGTAGGCTGGCATTTTCGTAGCTATGAATATAAACATTTTAATATAGCCTGCAAGTCCCTGAGTACACAGGTGCTTGCCCACCTCTCTAGCTCCATTGGCTGCCTTAACTTCATCCAGAGCCTCCATCTCTTTCTCACCATCTTGAGCTTCCTATAGCGTTTCCTGTAACTAGAATGCTCTTCCCCTCCCACCCTTTCCCTTTGCCTGGTTAGCTTCTGTTTACCCTTCAGATCTCAACTCACATGTCACTTCCTCAGACTAGCCTCCCACATCCACTATATCTGCAGTTGGTCTGCAACGGGGTTTCTACGAGCCAGCTCATCTTTCCTAAACCACCCAGGCCATCGTTTGTGATTATGTATTCACTCTAAACCTATACGCCCCAAACAACTGCAGGCCCATAAACCCAGCCACCACTTTTCTTTTGTGTACCATTGTAATCATGCTGTCTTGACATAGTGATAGCACCTGGTTGGAATGCCAAGAGTGGTTGCTGGGTGAATAATGGACTAGTGCTTGGGCATTATGCTTGGCATAATAATCATGTATTAGCCTTGAGGTCTTTGTCCATTGTTTTTTTACTAATACTTATAAATAACATGTTAAAGATAGCCTTTTTTCCTGATTATGAAATACACACACACACACATGTTTTCAGCTTTCAGGGCTGGATATTCATATTTGTCTATGGAGGACTGTTGGTGTGAGAAACTTTATATATATATATATAGAGAGAGAGAGAGAAGAGAGAGCATGAGAGCGAGGGCACGCACAAGAGAGACAACTAAAATCTCTAACCTGCTTTTGAGGCTTTAAACTATTGGAAGCATAAAATGGATTTCCAAGTGTGCATAACTAAAAGGGTTACTTAATATATAGGGATAATAAAAGACCAAACTGCCCCAGCTGCGGAACCTTCTTTATGTGGTCCTGGGGATACGGGATATAGAGAGGAACCTCTCTTGTTACACGGGAATGCCATTTAATAGTTACTAGGCACCTACTTCTGCTTAGTTTTGTATATCCAGGAAGAATGTCAAAAGGGTCGAGCTATTGTTTTAGTCCTGTTCAATAGGGAGTACTCTAAAACCTAACTTATATTTGAATGTTATTCTTAATAACATGTTTATTATTTCATTTATAAAATGAGGTCAGTAATAGGGTAGTGGGTGAGCTACTTTTATTTCCTAGTCAGGCATAAAAATAAGAGAAAGTGCTATAAGACCAAATGTTGATAGTTTGAGAACAAGGAAATGGGAAAGTGTTCTAAGACCAAATGTTGATAGCTTGAGAACAAAGTAACAAGATTTCTGTATTTTTACTCCCCCGTTGCACTAATTCAACATAATTACTATTTTGAAGAGGCAAAACCAAAAATTTCTTCACACTTAATTTTGCATCGCTCAGTCTTTAAAGTGTTGGTCATGGCAGAATTTTAGTTTCCTGCTCAGCTGTTATCCTGGCACAACTGCCTATGGGTAATAAACAACTGCACTAAGATCTGCGTGAAAATAGCATAGGTAATATGCCATTGGGTGTCTGACTGTTTTGCTCTGACAGCTTATATTGCCTTTTTTTTGTCCTCCTCATCCCCCTTGATACAGGGCATTGATGTACGAGATGCTCCTCTGAAGGAAATCAAGGTGACCAACTCCCGACGCTTCATTGCTTCATTTAATGTTGTGAATACCACCAAACGAGATGCCGGAAAGTACCGCTGCATGATTCGCACCGAAGGAGGTGTTGGGATATCAAACTATGCAGAGTTGGTAGTTAAAGGTATTTAATGTGTTTTTATACCCCAGAATGTTCTTCTAAAGTAGGTATGTTAGGTGGCTGTTAGTTCATTATCCCTTTAAAGCTCAAACTTACCCTTGTCTGTTTCTGAACAGTGGTTTGATGACAGGCTATTCTGATGGATTGCATTTTAAGTACAGATTTTGCATGTGAACAATATTTTTGAAAAATGTATTTTATCTATGTTGATTTAGTTGCATACGAAACAATGAATGTGTTCTTGGCAAAGTCTTCTGCCGGCTCTATATACAGAGATTACAACCTATAAATTTTTTCTAAGAAATAGAATTTTTTACTCATAGAAAATCACTTAAAACGCAAATATTCATCAGCCAGGGTGTTTATGATAGCAGGGTGGTTAATAAAATGAAGCAGTATCAGTATAAAAATGCTCAGTCATATCACACAAGCCATATTGATAATACTGTGTTAACATTCATAATGTTCCAGTTAGGTTCTATTACTATATTTTGCATGACTGAAAAATTGAGTCATTATATTTAAGAAGGTGGGGGATGAGGGAAAATAGAAAGGGGAAATAAGTTTCTTTTAGCTGGTTTAATGGGTTTTTTGTAGGCTGAGGAATTTATAGCATTAAGCCACCAAGACAATTTTTGGTCCCAGACAGGATAATTTCGACTTCGAGGTGTACCATGAGGCATTTTTAGACAACCTGTGGCAAGCCATTGCTATTTTTCCTAGAAAAACAGAATGAGGCCTGCTTTAAGAAAAGTTTTCCCTGCATTTGTTAAATATGGCACATAAAATGAACCTTCCAAAAAAAAAAACCCCACAACTTGGGAAACCGAAGCCAAAAAGTCCAAAACAACCCGGGCAAAAAAACGAAAACCCAACCCCAAAAAAAATTTTAAAAATAAAAAAAGTTAGCCAGGTGTGGTGGCACTGCCTATGCTCCCAACTACTTAGGAGGCTGAGGTGGGAGGATTACCTGAGCCCAGGAGTTCTAGGCTGCAGTGAGCTGTGATTGTGCCCCTGCACTCCAACCAACCGGTACAGAGTGAGACCCTGTCTCTTAAACAAAAATTGTTTCTTATGTGGTATTGCTTTTATCTGCACATTTCTCAAGATAGGCAACTTTAAAGATTGCTGGAATCAAATCCCAGAACTAGGTATGTGGATGTGGGCCAATGGCTTGCCCTGTCTATGCTGCTGTTTCCTTGTGTGTAAGGTAGATATCAGATAATAATGTTATCTACCTTATAGGGCTATGAGGAAGATCAAATGCAAAGTGTATATTATATATACGACACTTAGAACAGTGTACATAGTGAGCGGTGGATGCTTGACAGGCCCTTGATGGGAAGGGAGAGGAGGACAGGGATAAACTTCTCTCTGATCCAGTCTGTCAGTGGTCTTCACTGGAGAATGGATGTGAGAACTACGTTTCTAACTTTTTGAAAATATAAATACCTGCCCACCTATTGTCTCCTTCCCCCTCTTGCCACACCCATATTGAGTCAGAATATCCAGGGACACAGCCTCTGTTACAAAACCTCCAGCTGAGTCAGCCATGTCCTCTGTTGTGAGATCACCACTGCCAATGTTAGTTACTCACATGTAGCTTATGGGGGACAGTGCACCCCAGTGAGGCCACCTCGAGAATTGATCGTCTGCAGCGGTGACTGATGTTCGGCATAAGGAAGTGCACATTAAGATACCTACTCGGATAATGTATTTGTCCCAGCAGATTCTTAACATGTTTTTATTTGTGGTGCTACTTGAACCAGCCTAATATTTAGGTTTAAAGTCTGTAACAAAACTAAGATTCTTCCCTGTGGTACACACCCTACCCTCTTGAAAGTGCTCTGGCAAGTGAGACATCATGATGCACAAAAAGGACACTAGTTTGCCTACAAACTGTTTTGTCATTTTAGAGTTCATCATTCTCATCATCATCATTATTACTCCCATTATTTAATTTTCATCTTGGTTCATTTGTTTGTGAGTATTTTTCCTTTTCTTTCAGTTGCTATACTGCTTCACTGTGACCTGCCACTACCCATGTTATTGATTAGTGGGATGCAAATCTAGTAGTATCTCTAAAAATTCCTTTGTGGAAAAGTTAATTTGTGGGAAGTTATAAGTGAATTATAAATTTCTAGTCTACCAGAGCTAACATAAATAGAAAGAATGAATGGGTTCGTATTCATGTTTGTGCACCATATTTTCCTGCCTTACGACAGTGTAGTAGTATCTTGGCTCACGTGATAAACATTTCCAGGGACTTATTTCCATTTCTGCGCACTGCCACAGCTCGTGACAATTTGCATGCAGTTAGGACTCAAATATGAAATTTAACTTCTTCTCCAGTTATAATTTTATGGCCATATTTTGTATATACATATATTTTTTTAATGAGATAGCATGCTAGATACTACTAGTTTTGTAAAGTTACTACCTTGAAGCAATTACTTTAAAATATACACTAACGGTTTTAGGCCACTTGTCTATAATTTAACACTTCTTTATATATCATATAATATTTGGAGTGCTAATGTTTTACAAATGGGAGAAACTAAAGTCCATAGAGTTTTAACTTTTTAAGGTCACACACTGATTTGTGGCCAGCCTCCCAAATAAAGACCAAGTCCTTTAATTGACTAACCATCACTGTCATCTTTCTTCATGTCTAGCTACTTTTGGTAACCAAGGACATAAAAGTATTTCATATAATCTCTACAATGCATGTTTATATGCATATATATCAATACCCTACTTAGTTACATTTCTGTATTTCATTCGTAAACATATTTCATACAGTTAAATATGATACTGACATATTTATTGATGTATCAGGCATTTACATATGCATATCAGTTAGATATATGTCCGTGTGCATGTAAGTACTCTCATTACTGGCTTGATTTAGAATAGTTTTATGGTGTTCTTTCACTTGAATTAAGAAATATTTTAAATTGCTTTTTATCACTTTGTACAGATTAAAATTCTTCTCTCCTCCCTCCTTCCTTCTTTACCTCTTTCATCCTTTCCCTTTGGGAAAATTTGTTGAAAATTTAAATGTTGGCCGGGCGTAGTGGCTCACGCCTATAATCCCAGCACTTTGGGAGGCCGAGGCTGGCAGATCACTTGAGGTCAGGAGTTCGAGACCAGCCTGGCCAACATGGTAAAACTCCATTTCTACTAGAAATACAAAAATTAACCAGCTGTGGTGGCACACACCTGTAATCCCAGCTACTCAGGAGGCTGAGGCTGGAGAATCACTTGAACCTGGTAGGTGGAGGCTGCAGTGAGCCACGGTGGCACCACTGCACTGCAGCCTGGGCGACAGAGCAAGATTCTGTCTAAAAATGAAAATTTAAATGTTGCCTTATTCTTGTGCTGATTCTTCTGTAAACCAAAAGTCCTTTTGAATGTCTGTCCCAATTATTTCCAGGTTCTAGTTGAATCCTTCATTTGATTTAGTATATCTGGTATTTTTCTTAATGGAGAATTAATATAGAAAATATTATCAGGAAACAAATGCATTTAAGTCCCATCTAATTTAGGATACTAGTAACAATGTCTTAAATGAGTGAGTGTACTCATGACCCTTTGTGACTTTGTCCCTGAGTTTTATTTTGAATGGCAGTTCAGCAACCCTTGCTAGCATTTGCAACTCGAAAGTAATTAACTGCTCTTTCAGCCTGGCTACATAAATGCCTTAGGATGTACCATAAAGGCCCATTTCATGTCTCGGTTCAAGGAATCGCCTAATGATATGAATTGATGTTAAATCATTGTGAGTTAAGGCAGAGCTGTTTAAGGAAATGAAAAACCAGCACAAAGTTTCAGTTTATAAACAACAGGAACAATATTTTAGTAAATTTACATTATGTTTTACTCTGAAGTAAAATTCATTCACAGTTTGTGTCTTATTTTGACTTAGTCGAATGAGATTTCCCCAGCAATTTAAAAAAGTCAGTATGACTTATCCCACCTTGAATATAAACAAGAACTAAGACAACCAACCTAACAAAGGGAACCAGTGTTTGCTGGTTTTAGCTGGTCTAGGAATTAACCCGGTATCATCTCAGGTGCAAACCTCACATGGTGCTAGCTTCCCTGAGGTCCTCTTCAGCAGGAAACATGGCTGTGATCGATTAGCTGTGTCTGCCATGCAAGAGGATGCAAGAGGGTAGCAGAAATTTCAGCAAGCAAGCCAGCATATTCCAGTAATAGGATAGAGCGGATTTTATTTTTCCTTGCATTTGTATGAGCAAAATGAGGAGTTAAAAACAGAACACGCCAAAAAGGCACAAACCACCCATAGATACAGTCTTTGAAAAAAATCACTAGATTTATTTTTTTCTGAGAGGGAGATTTATTCAGATAGAAATATGTTGTTTTGTACAATTATCTCATTTATCATGTGTGATGTCACCCACAGTGACAGCGGCATGTGGAATACCTTCATTTGGTGCCTAGAGAGCCTTTCAACAGGCATCTAACTAATATACTGGGAATACTATTTATGATAAGATTGACAGTGATATAGAAAAAGAGTCAGTCTCAGATTTTAAACAATGAGAGGGACTTTCTTGGGTTGTAAAGTGTGTTTGCTAGTGATTTCTTAGTTTTATCAAGCTGGACATGGTATGTTTTTTGCTTCAGAGCTTTCCCTTCTATTCACTGCTTTAGTAAGACTTACTACTGGAAGTTTCCTGAATGGCAGCAATGGTGGACTTCATTATCCAGAATGCTTGATTCTCCTGTAGCAGAATGAGTTTATTGTGATAGTTATTTTGGGAAAACGAGTCATCCTGGAAATGTATTTTTGATGAGATAAACTATAATTTCAGCCATGTTTTTAAAGTGGTGATACCTTTGGAATATAAATATAAGGGAACAATTTAATGATATAGAAACTAATACCTTTAATGATTTTGAAGACATTCTCAATAAGGAGATTGACAATGAATGCTTCCTAGAGCTTAAATACTACTACTTGAGAGAACTTTTACCAGTTAACTTTAGTGAGAAAAAAAAAATCCTTTGATATCTGTGTAACTGACTCACTCTCAAGATACTGTAATTAGTATCCTAAAACAGGCATCACTTTAATGAGTTTTTGTCTTGAGAATATTTTCTGTATTAATTCACCATGACAAAAAGTAACAGATATGCTAATTTGCATATGCTATGCACAGTGGTTGGTGTCCTAAAACAAATTCGGGTTATGCCTACTTGAATAAGCTTATGTGTTCAAAGATGGTTTATTTCACAACTTTGAATGCAGTGAAAATCTTTATCAACATGTTTTTTCTTATTAACCCAAACAAAATTGTTCTTATCAATTTATTCCCAAAATTTATTATCTTCTACATTTTAATAATTGATGCATGTTTAGCTCTTTTAAGACTGAAGACAAAGCATCTGAAAGACAGTTTTCTGATTTGCCTTTCAGAACCACCTGTTCCTATTGCCCCACCTCAGCTCGCCTCTGTAGGAGCCACCTACCTGTGGATACAGCTCAACGCCAACTCCATCAATGGCGATGGGCCCATTGTGGCCCGAGAGGTGGAGTACTGCACGGCCAGTGGGAGCTGGAATGACCGGCAGCCAGTGGATTCCACGAGCTATAAAATTGGACACCTTGACCCCGATACAGAATATGAGATTAGTGTGCTTCTGACGAGGCCAGGGGAGGGTGGCACTGGCTCTCCTGGGCCAGCTCTCAGGACGAGAACAAAGTGTGCTGGTGAGTATAAGGAACCCTACAACTAATTGTCATTGTCTCTCGGGTGTTAACTGGCAGCACTGGGGTTGATCAGATGACTAGCACGCTTCCCCTAGCTCTATCAAAACCTGTGTATGAACAGAAAATGCCCTTAGCCTGTGAATAGTCAGCTAACAGCTTGTGAACTTGGAGACCAGTAACCTCCAGGCTTGGTGTTTCTCAGCCTGCCCCCACCCTTTTTCCTATTGTTAATTTACTTCTTACTCTGAGTACCACATAGTTCATATAGGAATTGTCCGTGAAGTTTATAGAAACTGTCTACTCTAATGGTGTCCTCTAATAGGTCAGACTTTCTTATTTGGGCCCCTTTGTTTTATGTTCACAGTTAATGTGCTTGCAGCCTGGAGGGGCTCTGGAATAACAGATTCCATCTTAGAGATAGCCTTAAAGATGTGTTTTCATTGATGGGTGTTTAATGGAAGGTCTGCTGTCTAATGAGTTGGGCCCATTTGTGTCATAAGCAAGAGTGATTTATGTGCTGGGTGCAGTCTTTAGTTTCTTAGATTATAAATTTCTAATTGTGCTAAACCCGTTCCGCAACTTAAATAAAAGTAGGGTTAATGGAGAGAGAAGTGTAAAATCTTCCAAAAATCAAAACCTGAAGAAACTACCCAAATCGAGGTTGTAGTGTTGTTTCATATGACTACTCTCTGGTAGGAAGCAGAGAGAGACAGTATATTGGGATACTGAAGTGTTCTTTTATCTTGTAAATGAGAAATTTCTGTGTTGAATTGTGTGCTGAGATGAAGAGATTCCATAAACTGTTATGGTGTTAGTTAATTATTCAGATAGCATTAGATAAGAATACATTTATCAATGTTTCATTTCTTTCTTAAGTTTTAAAACTGCTTAGCGTAGTCAGACTCTACCTGGTAGGAGTAAGATAAATTATTAAACCTTAACCATTGTAGCTTGTTTTTAAATTTTTTCTTCATAATTTGTATTATACTATTTCCACAAGTTCGATGCTCATGGAAAATTCTGTATTTTAAAAAAGACTTTTGTTAGAAAAGGGAACAGGTACTTTTTTCTTCTGGGGATACATCCTATTGAGTGCAAGGACTGGCCTGGGTTAGCAGACTGTGTACTTCGCTATTTTGTACATCTTTCGTCTGTTTCTCAGACCCCACATCTGTATCCTCCTGGCACCTTTGTGTAGGTAGTCTGGTCCCTGGAATAAGACCTGCTGTTTTGAACTGGTGATTTCCCACAGCCCTGAGTGGTGACTCTAAGGAGAAAGGAGAATTTCCCAATCCTTTCTCTTCCTGTCTTCTTCAAACGTCGTCGTCTCCTCTATTTAGTTGAATAAATTCTGTCATTGTTGTAAAACAGTTTTATCTTATCATTTGTTGCAATGCAAACAATAGCTGTGGATAATACTGCCTCTGTCATTTTACACGATAGGCATTAGTTTCAAATCTGTTATATTACCACTGCCTTATGAATTCTCCAGGGCAGGTTCTTTGATCCCCATAATACAGATGGTGAAAGTAAAGCCTACGTGAGCTCCTTTCCACTTCCAAGCTCACTCTGTAAGAAGTAAGTTTAGTGTTATTTCACTTTAGTGTTAAGAATTTCTGTTTCGGGCATGGCAATGTATGGTTTCTCTCTCTCTCCAAAAACAGGTTAGAATTTCATTGTTTAGGCCGGGTGCAGTGACTCACGCCTGTAATCCCAGCACTTCGGGAGGCTGAGGCGGGTGGATCATGAGGTCAGGAGATCGAGACCATCCTGGCTAACATGGTAAAACCCTGTCTCTACTAAAAATACAAAAAATTAGCCAGACGTGGTGGCAGGCGCCTGTAGTCCCAGCTACTCGGGAGGCTGAGGCAGGAGAATGGCATGAACCTGGGAGGCGGAGCTTGCAGTGAGCTGAGATCGCACCACTGCACTCCAGGCTGGGCGACAGAGCAAGACTCCATCTCAAAAAAAAAAAAAGAGATTTTCATTGTTTAGCTTGGAGAGAGAATGTGATCTGTTTCAATTTTAGTCACTAGCAGCCCCACCTATATAATGTTTCTAGTCCTGTTCTTTTTTTTTAAACACATTTTTGCCTTTTCTTTTGGTTTTGTGTCTGTACATCTCAGCTATTGACACATTGCTGTATATATTTCCACTGATTATAATGCATGTGTCTGTGTTTTCAGGAAGCCTTTTGATATTGCTGCATGATGTGTAAATGGATAATGCTCAAAGAAACAAAATAACTTTTCATAATAGATTGACAGTTATTTTTAAGAAATGAAAACCAATTTTGAATTGATATTTGTAGGCCTACACTGTGCCTCGATGTATGAAACCTCACCTAAGCCAAGAAACCTAATGATGATGTCCCCTTTCCTCTTCATTGTTTGCAGCCTGCAGTTGGTGTTCTTCGTGATGCATGGTCTGGTTGTGCCCTGCGCTGGCATGGAGTCACCCTCGGAAAATAGAGGGAGATATGTTAGGTGAAAGGGTCAAAGTTAGAAAGAAGAGAGTGAGGCATGTTTGGTGGGTGAGGAAAGTGAAAGGTGAGGAAAGTGAAGTCAAATGAGACTTTTTGCTATAGAAAGAAATATAGTTCACCCTTCTTCACCTGGGGTTTTGAGAAAATCTGCAGGTAATATCAGTAATCACTGTTTATGATCTGTGTGGAATTTTGGGAAGCAGGAGCAAGTTAAAGGGAAAAAGATGCTGTAAATTATTGGCATCAGTCCCAAAGTGTTATTCCGATGGTTTGTGAGCATTTAGAGCACCTAAAGAGCGAGTCATGGATTTCATAAACCTGGGAGAGACGAGGAGCATTCTGCAGCGATAAGTGGAAAACCTCCTTGGCCAGCGGCAAATGGTTGATGAATCTAATAGGGTGATACGTAATAGGAATAAATCTAAATCCTTCCTGTATGGTTCAGAAAAGCCAAGAGTACTGGCTTCGAATTAGAGTAATACAATTTAGCAGCAATATGTATGAAGAAGAGATTGAGGATTTGGCTTCAATGCAAATGAATCTGCAATATCATCCATCTTGTATTAATTATCCCTGTGATGTTAGTGCCTCACCATCCTCTGCAAAAAAAAAAAAAAAAATCCTAAAATAATCTTAGGTTGCATCAGGAAAGCAAAATGCCCATATTGAAGGAGGTGATAGCCTTAATCTACCAGTGCTGTTTAGACTTCCCATATTTCTCACATTTATTTCTAGTTCCTGCTTTTTAAGAGAGACAGCACAAAATAGATTTTGCCCATGGGGAGGGCAATCAGGATAGGAAAGGGTATGGAACCTTTTGCAACTAATGAGGAATGGTGGAAGGAACTGAGAAAGGGGATGGGGAGGAAAGGGTACCTGTGTAAACTCAACAAGAGCTGAGTGAGTTTCTTGTGGCTGATTTGTTCAAGCATAACCTGACATGGTAGAAAGTGATTTCTATATTCAGAAGAGGATTGAGCTGGTTGACCTTGAAGATCTCTTCAGTATGAAATTCTATGATTCATTTCTTGCTTTCTTTCTGATGAGATGATCCACCAGATATTTCTACCCTGAAAGTCTTTCAGTTTCATTTTTATTTCATCCTTGTCTAAATACTCCATAATCATGCTTATCAAGTACTATTCTTTGGGCAGTGAAGGTCTGCTATTACGTTTCCAAAAATCTGAGCAAAGGGGGAGAACGTATAAGTTTTTACTACAGTGAAGTAGAATAAATTTGAAGGACTGACTCACTCTGAGATTTCCTGCTTGAGTTTTGTGTTAAAATGTCACATCAATTCATGAAATAATAGTGCTAGAGCCAGAGTCAGTGGTTGAGAACATAGGCTCTGGGAGCAGCCACCTAGGTTTTAGTTTAGGCTCTGCCTGGCACTAGACACAGGACTAGAGAAAAACTGCTAACCCTCTCTGGGCCTGAGTTGCCTTATCTATAAAACAGAGGTGATGATAATAATAATATGTATTTCATTGTTTTGTTCTGAGCCTTAATGAGCTAATGAATATCAGTTGCCTAGAACAAACTCTCACATATAGCACATAGTCAATCAGAGTTAACTATCATTTGATAAATTTTTGTCTTTTAATGTTTTCATTCAGAAGAATTAGACACTGGCAACCTCATTACCCAATGTTTTAGAAATATTGCTTATCTGGGAAATGTAAAATCTGAGAACCATGGTTTCTAATGTGAGCTGATAGAATTCCTTGCAGTTGTGCATTATGTTCTCATCTGTTAAATCTGTTTATTTTGGCCAAGCTCTGTTTTCATTTCTGTGCTGCATCAGTGACACCTGTCCTATCATTTTTTGGTGACACCCATGAAACTGTATTTAGCTTCTTGTATTAAAATGGCAAGATCACTATTTATTGCCCATCATCTGTGAAATGGAATTGATTTTCCTGTGTGGCTTGTAGACACAATCTCATTACCTGGTTGGATTTCTGCAAGGATTGTATAGTAACACAACTCCAAAATTCTTGCTTCTTATGCTTCTGAAAATTATTTCCAAATATATGCACAAGCTCTCCATGCAAGACCTTGATCCAATCACATAGCTTCCCTGATTCCACATCTTCATCTCTAATTTGGGGCAGCAGCAGCTGCCCTGACTGTATCAGAGGTGGTTTTGAAGATCAGCTGAGATTTTATCTGTAAAGACATTTTTCACAATGATAAAATGCTCTGTCAATATGGGTTATTGTAAAAAGTGATTATAGTCAGAAGCGTCCGTCAAGCTTTATATACATATCCAATTATTTTCCAACTTTGCAGTTCAGCTATAGTTGGGCAACTTTAGAGAGTTAAAATTACTTCAGCATCCAGTTAAACAAAATGCAATTTAGTTTGTGATTTCTAATGTATCCTATATTCTCAAATTATGTGCAGACTATATATCACAAGCCATTGAATAGTAGCTACTTGAAACAGAGAAATGGGTGATGTTGTTAGATTAATTTTCACAGTGGACTTCTTATGTGTTATTTGGAGATACTTC